TTTAAGGCACCAAGAGAGCGTAAATTCTATTCTTGCTTTAGGCATGAAAGCTAGCTGGGTGACTTAGGACTAGTCTTGCGTGACGTATCGCGACTTTTTCCCCATTGCTGGCAATGGGATGGGTGCGTTTTTGGCATGATGCATCTGGCCCGTGGGCCAGCAGTTTGACATGCCTGGGCTAGTCACTTTCTCTCAGCCAAACCTACCTCACAGGGTGTTTGTAGTGAGGAAAATAGGAGGAGAGAGTATTATATGTTTGCTGCCTCGAGTTTTTTAAATAAAAAATACAACGGAGACAAGGTTAAAAAAAATAATTAAATAAAAAATGTTTCCATTGTACAGACTGGATGTTAAGATTATATTAGCAGCACAACAATAATCCCTCAGTTTCCAATCACTAACAGGAACTTTGGCAGAACACCACACTAAGGGTGTGGCAGCTAATGAGTGTTTCAAAAAAGAACAACAACTGACTATTCTTTAAACCAGAGCTGTCTCGAACCTCTTCATCAGAGGCAGCTGAAGCAAGAACAGTAAGTAGCAACTTGATTGTCTGACTACACTCAAACTAAACTCCTATAAAAAGAACAGTTTTCACTATCTAAGCACTTTGGACTCATTGAAAATTAATGCAAATTTATTTGTTAATTTTAAATAAATAAATACAAGGTTGGACTTTAAAACTGCCTTTGTTCTACTTGTTGTTGTTAATTGCGAAGTCGTGTCCGACCCACTGCGACCCCATGGCTGAGTCAAATGCTTTATTTTCAGTCTTACTATCCAAAGAGCACCATCATTCAGTTTCTTAATGTGAAATGAAATTATAGAACTGCTTCACACAACCCAATCAACAAATGGCTCACATAACACATTAACTCAAGATTGGTTAAGTTGTTTTGCTGAATATGCTCCAGTTGACTGGACAGATATATTGGACTACCTATAAACTACAGTTAACTACAAATAGTAGTTAGTAGAAATATTGGACTAACTATATGTAAACTACAGTTAACAAACTACATAATGGCTAACGCATAAACATCAATTAACATTAGGGCACAGTGTATGGCCTTGTTCTGTATGTCTTTAGTACATTTAAATTGGATTGTATTTAGGATGTGATTACACCTCAGCTTTCAGGCTCAGATTTCCAGAACAACAAAATTTCAGTGATCTAGTGGTTCAAGTACCATGAAAAAGCTGGAGACTGTGAGTTCTAGTCCCACGTTAGCCATGAAAGCCAGCTGGATGTAACTCTTAGTCAAATTTACCTACAAGTTGTTGTGCGGAAAACAGGAGCAAGAAGTAGTGTAAGATATGTTCACCACGAGTCATTTAGTAAAAAAGATAAAATAAAGTGAGATATAAATAAAGTTCTCTATATTTTGTCTACTGGAATGCATATTCCGGCATACAGTGTCATATGGGTTGGGATGAATTAGTGTATTATGGACTCTAACTATTCATAAATAATGATTTATGTCTTAATGTGCTGTGTGAATCCAACCAGTTGTAATTTATCAAACCATGACACCATGCTTTACTTTGTCTGGACCTGTAAAATAAATAGGATTAAACCTGATTAGTACTTGTATGGACAGTATCTGATATCTCAGGGTAGTAGGTTAGACTATATTCAAAAAAATATCTTGGAAAAATGAAATAACAAAACTAAAAAAAGAAAAAGCCCTTCTTGGCCACAACCAAGATTATAACACAACTCAAAGTCTGGACTTGATTTTTATGCGAACCAATGTATAGTGCAATGTAGCATAATTAGTTAACTATGATTGAAAAAAAGTTTGATGTCTGAATTTACCCTGTGTATATTTTCTCAATGGAAAGCACTCTTATGAAGGGGGGGGGGAAACCTTGGATTCAAGATTATTTAAAAAGATCACCTGCTTCCACATGATTTCCCCCCCCCCATCTGTTCAGAGATCTCATTTCATTTTACCTTCATCAGAAATTTAGATAGAGAGAATGAATGTAAATCTGGTTTCAGAGAAAGTGCATTGCCTTCCATTTATATCAGAGGTGGGGAACTACGGCCCCTTTATGACTTGTGCGCTTCAACTCCCAGAATTCCCGAAACATCATTGAAGTCCACAAGTCATAAAAGGGCCACAGTTCCCCATCCTGATTTATACTGACAAAATGTCACCTCAATTTCTCAGGCCTCTATAGGAATGTCTGTTTAAAGACTTTCACTTGCAGCCAATCTTTGCTGAAGGTTGGATTTATTTCAGCCTTGTTCTTTTTAACAGCTTCTATCTTTTTTCATCCATACACTCATAATATCATTTTCTGCTACTTTTTCTTACTATTGTTGAATTCCTTTTATGTTGATTTATTATTGTATACTTTTATGAAGTTCATGAATTCTATTTTGAAGCTATCATGGGAAGCAGACTGTTAAGTAATAGAGAAATGTAATAAGAAACCATACAATAATATTTAACTTTCAGACAAAAACATGGGTAAGCATAAGGCTTACCTTGACAATTTTACTGCTGCTAATTTTAGTCATCATATATATTGTACAGCATTTTAATATTGGTGATGCATTTTTTAAATAAGTCAAATACATTTGTTAATTATAAACACAATCATAGCACACTGATTTATGACTCCTGCTTTGTTTTGTAGTGCAATGGTTATCTGCTGATCTTTTAAATGTTACAACTATTTTAAATTATGTTATTCATTAAGTTGCCTATTGCAAATACTAGGGTTGTGGGGATAAATATTTAAATCAGGGGTGGATAACCTGAATCCCATGGTTTCAGCTTATAATTCCTTCCCCCCCCCCCATTCCTCATTTATCTTTCTTTAGCCTGCTCTGAATGCACTAAATTTTAGAAGTGCTGCTGACAAAAAAAAATGTTATTTTCTCCTATCATTTTAACTCAGACAACACAGAAAGTTAAAGTCTTAAACTGACTTTCACAGCTGGGGGGCATTAAAAAAAACCCACAGCCTAGCACAAAATGCCTTAGAATCCAGGCTCCATCTCCATGTTGATGCAGCTGCCTCATTTGGCATCATATTCCCTGACAGTGAAGACCCAAGTCTGTCAAAAATGTGTAGCTGTGGCTAAGAAGGCCCACCATTATTTTTAATATATTGTATGAAACCAGTAAATAGACAACATAAATCTTTGCTAAGATACAAAATACCCCCAGCTTTCTACTGTAATTCTGATAATGAAATACTCCAAACATCTCCACATTCCCTTCTCTTCCCAGCTGCACTTCTACAGTGCACATTACCGGAGTGGATTTCTGGACTGATGTCTGCATGCCTCAGCAACATTTTACGTCTTCATGGTCAGTAGGTTAACAGAATAAGATGTGACCAGATGTACTAAACTGTTTATAGGAATAAAGTCTGTCCTGAATGCATAGTGTTATTCTGCTCCAGGAACAACAACAGGATTCAGCTGATGCTGAGGCAGTCCTTGGTAATCCAATATCCATAGCAATTATTTGATCATCCTATATTCCCACTTGAATAAAACTGCTGAAGTGAAACCCAAGGAACGTCCCATCTTTTTCATTCCAGCACTGCAAAGTGAGAAAATTTATACATGCTCCAGCCAGCTGAACATATTCTCTGTACAAGCTTTCAGCTGTCCTAGTTCTGACTTTTTCCTCAACAAATGGAGAAAACCAACTACTAAGAGTGTCAACTAGACATATAGAACGGAACTGAACTGCAGAGTAAGAAATCAGATGTAGCACTTCAGAAAAGGATCCAATTTAACAGTGGCTGCCTATAGATCTTATCTTATAGGAAGACAGGAAAACTCTTCTAGCTTTTCAATAATGGCCCATAAAGCAATAATTCTTACCTTTCTTTTCTGCAGGGCAGGGGAAAAATATAGAGGAAATCTATTTATTACAAAGCTTCAGGGAAATAAATTACATGAGTGGGCTTTAATAAATTTATTAATCCTTAATTTGCTAGATGTAACTATATTCTTGTCTCTGAAGTAACTGACAAATAGTGTTATTTTTCTAGGGGGGAAATCTTGCCTTATAAGATTTACAAAGAAATTATATGTTGCTTGATTATATAATTTGCACAAGGCTTAATATAAAATGGTTCCACCATCAATAGTCCTGATATATCTGAAAGTTTTGCACATATTCAGGATACTCACAATGTGAATTGACTGTATGTTTTCATTTTTTGCCTCCACGTCAGTCTTGGTGATTATATGAACAAGTTCCTGCAGTATTCTTGGCAACATTTTTGAAGGGGTTGACTATTGTCTTTGTCCTAGGGCTTACAGCCAAAACTGATCCAAAGTCACCCAGCTGGTTCCTAGCGATTAAGGTGCTCCCAGTCCAGCACCTTAACTACTAGACCGAATTGGCTTCTACACAAGTCAAAATGAATAAATCAGATCCTTCATAGTTTTAAAATATGGCCAAGTTTTCTGAAAGCATGTCATTATAAGTTAATTCATTACATTGCTTAGACATTTAAAACATCCTTCTGAATTTTGAGGCCTCGTCTTTAGAAAAACTTAAAAACAATATGTGAAAAGAAGTGAAAGTAGCAAAAAGACATGTTTCGAAAGGTTTTAAAGAGAAGAGGGAGAAGGCTGCCTAAATTTAAAGCTTCCGCCTGACTTTCAGGCAAATGTTCTTTCTTGCCGGTTATCTCGGCTGGGGAACTTATATGTGGTTTGCTTTAAGTGAAGAGTGGTAGGAGGTGGAAGGTGGAAATTTCAAATCCTAGTAACTGTGTTAACAAAGTTAAAACAAACAACCCGATTTCCTGCCCTTGCAAGTCATACTGACCAATAAGCTAAGCACGTGGTGTGCGAACACAAAGCCCGTAAACCAAAATGGGGCTTGAGGTAACGTGAGAATACACGCTTTTGTTAGCGCGTATGTTTATATTCAGAAGCCAAGTAAGTTTGTGGGATTTATTTCTACCAATATAGATTTGCATTGCCTACGACGGCCTATTGGAAGTGCTAGACTTACTATCTCAAACACCATGAGGACTCCAGGAATCGTCTTCAGAAATTCTTTGTCATAAGCGAGCGTGCTGGATCTGGACGTGAAAGTAGCCGCGAAAGAGCTGCTGGTTGTGGTCACGGTGTGCGAACTAGCGCGCTCCTGCTGGCTCTCGCGAGGTGGCTGTTCCATCTTCAGCTGCAGCAGGAACACCGTCGAGAGCCTGATCGCTTGCTGCCGCAGCCAAAGGCAGGCTCTTCAGTCCGAAAGCTCTGGACCTGTAGCCGAAAGTTGCCGTCCGGAGAAGCAAATTACGCGCAGGGTTGTTCGGGATATGGGAGTTTTAGCGCAGTGACCGCAAACCTCTCCTGTGAAAAGCCCCGCTGGCGGGACTCCCAGGGGCAGAGCTAAGGGGACGCACGCGGGCGGGGAGGGGAGAGGCTTCCGTCACCTGGGGCCGTGCAGTTTGGGGAGGGGGTCGGGGAAAAGGAAAAACGAAGGTTACGCTATTTCCAAACTCTATTGCTGCTTGTTCCAAATTGGCTCGGTTTGGAATTTTGCCGAGCTAATAAAGAAACGTTATCTTGACCGACTTCACTGTTGACTGGGAATACTTATCTGGGTAGGCGCCTCTGAAGTGAGTTCGAATTCCGAAAGAGGTAATAGAGATATGGCTGGATCTAACAGAGATCTTGAAGGATTACATCAGAAAATAGATAATTGTCGGTTGATCAGTATCTCCTTCACCTTCTCCTGTTCATTATGGTTGTTAGCTACGAGAATCACAAATTCAAAACCAGTTGCAAATACTAATTTCTTGTATGTTCTCCTTGATTTTTAGTATTCTTGGTTTTGCTTTGTTAGTAGAACAACCGCCCCTCCTTAGAACCTAAGGGGACTTTTTGAATTTTTTTGTGAGCCATTTTAAGTTTTAAATAGTTTGTAAGGCAGGCTGCACATTTTAATAGCAGTGAAGGTAGCATGCTAATGTTTTGAACATAGGCATACTGCATGCTTGGCAAACAGTTAATACAAAGACTATATACTTGATCAAACTCAGCATAAAAAATGGATATTAATGCTATCCCTGATGTAATGCCAACTTCGATTTATCATGTGGCACTACCGAGTACATGGATAATAAAACAAGCTGGTCTTCAACAGAATTGTGCACTTTAACAAAATTACACTATCAATGTATACTTCTCTTGTTTGAACAATCTACAATTCCATGGCCATAAGCTATATTTGGAATTTTAAAAAATATAAACTCCTGAAAGACTAAATTACACCTTTAATTTTTCCCAAGGAAACTACATTATCCTGCCCATGCAGTTACCTAGAGATGGGTTTAAATAAAAGTAAATTTTACTTGCAGTATGCAGCAATTTTCACACTGGGTGGTTTTATATCAAATATATTTACATATGAAACTTGTGACATATTTATGACATTCCCACAACAAGCTAAGCTAAATTTGCCCAGTTTATTGAATGCATAACTGTTGGTTCAGACAAGCAAACATATATATTTTGGCTTGAATCCAGCCTATAGTCTTTGCATCACAGTAATTGCAGTTCATTGTTGCTTATCTCATGACTAATATTTTAAAGGCACATGTTATAATCCCTTAGGGATTTGCAGTTTCCTGCCTGGTGCCCTCCCCATTGCTGCCTAGGAATTATTGGGCAGGAGGGAGAATAAAGATTTTTTTATTCCATCTTTATTATATTTATAAATAACGGAGGGCCGATAACATATCTAATACTACTGCTAGTTTTCTCATAACAACAACCACATATGGAGAGTTGGATTGAGAGAGAATAACTGACCCAAAGTCACTCAGCCAGCTTTCATACTAAGGTGGGACTGGAACTTGCAATCCAGTGGTGCCTTAATCAAAAAGCTGTGCATATGGAAAGTTTAATAAGAGGGGATAAACATGTTATTCCTATGTTGATATTCTGGTATTTTATGCTGTTTCTAAATCATCAGATATTTTTAAAATCAGCCCTCCTTTCTGCAAATTTTAGTTTGTATCCATGAAGAGGATCATACTTAGTCCAAATGTCCTCTCAGTGTTGGGATCCAGATTTGCATATGGGTGTCTGAACCAAAAACACATAAGCTTGATTAATTTTTATATAAGCAATATTGGAGAACAGAGATCATGCACTTGCACCTCTGTACACTAGAATCTATGCAGCGAAGCCCCTATATAGATTTGGAATTCTGCTTGTGGTCACTCGTCATGTTGAGAGGCTAAAGTTAGTGGGCATAGTCCTATTTTATATACATGCACATGCATTTATATATGTGACAGATGATTCAACAAAGATGTATTCTTTTTTTACCCTTGTTAGGAGACACGCATGTATTTTTGCAGAAACGTACTTAGTACAAATGATAAAGAAGCTAATTTAAAGCTTGTTTATAAACTCATTGTGTTAGGCAGGTTGTCCCAATTTGAGGTGGTCTCCCATGGAGAATGAGACACGCACACAGGTATCTCGGGATGGGAGCCCAGAGCTGACTCTTGCACCCTATTTTATTGTTACTAAGGTTTTTACATCACACAGCGTAAGCAAAAGACGTATATAGGGGTGGTTACAATGTATCAAATAACAGACACTTTCCAGATGCAAGGCTACTGCAGGTGTTCTTATCAGAGTCTGTCCAAATGGTTGATGAATGCATCCTGTGTCTGAAACAGTCCGTTTGTTATCTCAGGCCCTTGTGGGAGATGCCTATGGGCAGATGTCTATGGGCATATTCGTGCAATTAATCCCACATCTCCTCCTTTTCTGTTTTTTAATGTTACTCACTTCCAGTTCCAGAAGGGATCTTGATTCACTGATTAAGGCGTCCTTCCTAGTGGAGGGCGTAACATTTTTGCACATTTGCAGGAGGGAGGGAATACATTGAATGCAACAACATAGCAATACAATTAATATCAAAATGGTTACTATAATAGAAATCAAAGATCGTAGCCAGGATCCATCCGGTAGCCAGGACCAAAGGGCACCCCAAATATCCACGGTGCCTGATCCATCACTGCGTAGGGGATTATTTTGTAGCAGAAATTCCATTTTCCTGGCTGTAGCAGAAATATTAGGTTGAAAATCATGTATATACATACAACAATGAGAATGAATTAAAGCACATAAACCGCCTTTTACTGCTAAAATAATATCTAAAGCATACCGATTTTGCAAAACTACTTCCCTTATTTCCCCCATTTCTTGATTAATCATTTTAATGCTGTTGATTGTTTCATTAAACATATGAACAGTCCAATTGTTAAGCAAATGAAGGTCCCTATAGTTCATGGCAACTCCTAGATTGGGTAGAATCCCTCTGCTGATTTGAGTCTCTAAACTACCACCCAATGTTAGGGGTGGATCCGAGGAACCAGTATCACGTTTGTTCCGCAGGCGTCCATCAGGGAGGTGAGGCAAGGCATATACAGCAGGAGTCAAAAGGCCCAGTGTACAGGTGCCTTTCCAATCCTTAGGCACCTGGCGATAGGCTCTACGGCCACATAGTAGCCACATATCGGGTAACTCATAATAACCCTGGTGAGACTCATTAGCAAATGTTATTATGGATTCCATGTCAAGGCAAGCCATGTAGATACTGATGTTTGTCCATTGATTGCTTTGATAAGTGTCATTTATCTTAGTAAGGTTGCTTTTGATGGATATGCATTTCTTTGCTGAATTCCATATAATAATTTGTTGACAATTACTATAAGTTCCCAAATAAATGGCAGTACGGAATAGTCCTGTGCTATAAAAACAAAATCTGGCAGGTTCCATTATACGAGCGCCCACAGCATATGTCATATTCAATGTCTCTGTAGTTATGCTCCACAGCTGCTTCCATCCTGTTTCATTGAACGGGATGGCATGGAAAATAAGGCCACCACGACTGTCACCAGGAATTTGCATGCAGATCCAACAGTTCGTGATGTTAAGTGTAAGAGCAGTGTGCCTGGCATCCTGTGCAAAAGCATTAAAAGCCCACAGTCCCTGATCCTCATATGCCTGGCTGAGGTGGTGTACGTTGAGCCATATAAGGATGAACACAACGAGCTGGAGTCCAAACGATCTCGCCATGGTCGTCTATTGCAGCATAGCCTCGACCCCAGGTAATGAGGGAGGCAGGCCCTTTCCAGGTGGGATCAGGCAAACGTCGATAGTATACCTGGGGGCGTGAAGAATCTGTGGGAGAAGCAGAAAAATGCCTGCTTGCGGCAGTTGAGCCAGGGGTGCCAGAAACATTCAAAAAGTTTAAGGTAAAAAGTACAAGATTAAGAGTGTTTTGTATCCCAGGCAAGCCGGGGGTATTTTCCCCTTTCTTTTTTGCATGCATGTCTAGAGCCCTTTTTACGGTCTGATTGGCTCGTTCCACGATTGCTTGACCAGTGGAGTTATATGGAATGCCATTGATTAAAAAAGGCATCACCAGTTTTTGGGGAGTAATTTACTTTGTTAGTGCCAATAGATCAGAGGAAGAATTCCCAGAGTGAGATGCATATGCAGCCTCTAGAATGGGTGGTGCTGGACGTGGTAATAAGACCAAGCGTGCCACCGTATCCCCCCGGTTCATTGTGACAGGGAGATTGGTATAAAATTGGACTTTTAGGGTGTCTCTATACATGGGATCTATCAAACCTGGAAGCACAAACACTCCTTGTTCCCGAGCAACAGGTGTGGGAAGGATTATTGCCTCCGTTTCTGGAGGCAAGGGTCCAGAATAAAGGGTTTCAGCAACCGTGAGTAGGTTAGGAAAAGTAACAGAAAGAGCAGAAGCCAATTTTAAATCAATGCCAGAAAAACATTGCGAAGCTGGAGTAAGATCTGAAAAGGATGCAGCCTTTGGAGAGGGGTTAGCTACAGACCCCTTTGTTAGTTTCCCCGATTAGACTGAGAGGAACGACACTGATTGACCCAATGAAAACCCTTTTTACATTTTGGGCACACAGTTTTGGGCTTGGCTCTGGGGATGGCAGCGGGTCGAGCTGCGCCACCTCCTGGGGCTCTGCATTGCTTTTTAAAATGACCAGGTTTTCCACAATTAAAGCAAGTGCCTTGGGGTTGATTCCCCTTTTGGATTGCAGCTGCAAGAGTGTCCATTTGAAAAGCATTGGTTCCCACAATGCGACAGGCTTTAAGAAAATCTGCTAAGGTGGCCGTGGGACTGGAAACAAGTGGTTTAAGAATGGACTGGCAGTCTGCATTTGCATGTTCATAAGCCAATTTTATGAGGATTTCATTTGCTGCATCTCTGTTTGAAATTTGACACTCAATGGTAACTTGCAAGCGATTCACAAAGTCTGCATAGGATTCAGTTGCAGTTTGGCGAATGGCAGAAAAAGATTGAATCGGGGTGCCAGACTCATCAACACGA